CAGTATGAGAATGTACAGTTCTATAAAAAAATAACCACTTCAGAAATCACTGTTTATTCTCTGCTGACTGGCATTTTTAAGAAACTAGTTCACCATAGCAACCTGTCGTAACACCAGCAGATAAGAACAGGCTATATTTAGATATGATTGCTTTCCAGACGGCAACCCTGCCTTTCCTTCATATTTAATGTCATGATCCAAGGGACCAAAATATTATTCCATCAGACTGACTGTAGTGTGAAGACAAGTATACTCAGGGGGATGAGGCTGTGTTTCAGAAGCACTAAAAAAATCAGTTTTCACCCAAATCAGTAAAATATATAGGAAAGTACAAACAAGTAAGAACTTCATGTTTAAGTAATTTGTAATTAGAAACAATTTTCCCAAATTTTTCTTTGTTGTTAAATGTAAAATGCTGTTGCCAACAGGCTATAATCTCGAAATACATTTTGACGAAATTTAAAAAATTTAACTGAGAAATTGTTTTTCTTAAAAAAAATACTTTATAGATAACATATTAACAAAAGCAGTAGTAATACAAATCTACAAAAGAAACTTAATAGGAATTAATGAAAATGCTACCACAGTTGCAAAATTACTATGGATTTATTTGTGCTTTATAATCTTCTTTAAAATGACAGTGAGAAGAATTTATATAGTTTACTAAATAAGCAACCAAGTTTTATATAGTTTACTTCAAAATACACCAAAGAATCATAATCATCAAACATAAGAAATATCTTAATGTTCATTACTTTACAGATGGTTGTTTCAAAGTCATTATTAAAAGACAAGATGTGAAAAAGTGAAGTTCAGTTAAAAAATAGCAGCATTTCCTCATCGATAGTATAATTTACCCAGAATTTAGATTATTCTAAATTAGATACAACAATAAGAGGCTATTTAGACTGGCTTCTGTGTTGCAATTTACCCAGTCAATCTAAAATAGTATCAAGACTTAAGATGTATTAATACTTGATTTTTCTTTACCACCAACTGATTGCAGCATCAGCAGCTCAGATAGGAGAGTCATAATAAAATCTGCCAGGCATATTAACATATAAAACATTCATTCAATATCTTATTCTCATAATATATTTTCATTTGGAACATTAATCAAAATCACACACTCGATATTTTAGTAACTATTAAACTAGTCTCGGGTACCCAGCAAATTCCTGTGATTTTTAAGAAATGTATTTTTTTTAGTAACAAAGATATTTCAGACATATATCCTACTCAATATTGAAAGAGATAGTCAAATCCAGATTGAACATCTAATGTACACAAATCATAGACCAGTCTTAAAGATTTATGTCAAAAGTCTGAGATAGAAAAGAAAGATGTTTCTAAACACCTCATTCATGAGGTGTATATTAAACAAATACAATTACTATAGTAAAGAATTTAGAATAAAATATTTTACATCATGACAACTGAATGAAATATTTCTTTCCAAAGTGGGTATTGCTTTCCTTAAAGAATTTAACCAAGTAAGAATATATATCTAAAATACAAATTAGAGTACTTAATAATTGTTGTTATTGTTAAGTGCCATCCAGTTGGCTCTGACTCTGTATAGAGTTTCCAAGGAGAAGCTGGTGAGTCTGAACTACCGACCTTGTGGTTCAAACCAACTTTGTAGTCCAGCACATTAACATACTTTCTGTTATTCCTAAATAAAAACTTTCCAGACTCAGATAGGCAGGGATAGATCAAATTCACCTTTTGCTGAATTTTCACATTCTTCTATACTAGAATAACTAATGCCAAGAGTTGTTGTTGTTAAGTGCCGTCAAGTCGGTTCCGACCAATAGCGACCCTGTACAGGGTTTCCGAGGGTGTAAATCCTTACGGGAGTAGAAAGCCTCATCTTTCTCCCGCGGAGCGGCTGGTAGTTTCGAACCGCTGACCTTAAGGTTTGCAGCCCGATTCGTGACCACTACGCTACCAGAGCTCCAAAGCCAAGAGAATGATGCTAAATTAAGAGAGCTGCCTGCTTTAAAACAGAGACTTTGAGAATTATTTTGTCCATTCAGTACAATAATAGTTTGAGAAGAATTTTTCTTAGTATTCTGATTAAATTTAGAATCTAGTAGTAGGTAGCATAATGAATATTAGTCTATAACCTGAGAAGAAACATCAAATTCTCTCAAAATACTATTAATTCATTGCTATCATTTATTCTTTAACTGCAATTAATCATGTTAAGGTCCATATGAGCATGTTTTTCCCACAAAGACTATATTAAAGATATATAAACCTACCACATTTTAAATTAATTCCAAAGGGGAAAACTTTCAAAAAACATAGCTAACTCTCATTTGATAAGGAAATAAGAACACTATATGCAAGTAAATGTTACTCAATATTCATTTAAGAAATATACTGTATCCTTAATTATTTACAAAAATGAAAGAACAGTCTATCTTAACATGAGTAAAAAAGTATTAGATTTTATGGAGAAAGAATACTGACAATACATTTGAGTGAAGAAAAAAGATTGGGAAAAGAAAAAAGGAAGAGATTTGAGCTTGGAAAATCATCCTGAACTCATTATAATAATAAATATTTAATACATTTTCAGCTCTTGTGGCTATATTTTAAAAATGGCTGGTCAATCATTAAAGAATCAATAACTTTTAAATTTAATATATCCTTGTATTTTATTCCTTAAAAAATTCTCAAAGGCTTACTACTGAAGTTGCTGTGAGGGTAGATCACATGTGACCTGGAAAACTCTGATTATTTGTTATAGTGTAATTTATTGTATGCATTAAACATATTTAAAGAAAGCATCTGACACAATTTTCTCACTGCCCAGGTCACTATACACATAAACACATGTATGCACACACGCAGATATATACAAGGGGGCTTCAACAAATTCTATTATCTTTTAATTCCATTTTTCCATGAACTTTTTGAAGCCTAGTATATATATGTACAATAGAAGCCAATAAGAATTGCTACAAAATCACCAAAACCTTTACTAAACAATAATATCAAAATGTGAACCTATTGCTTTTCGATATATTCTCTACCTACGTCTATATTCTTAGGATGGTGTTTCCATCTCTCTAACTCCGTGATGCATTAGAATTGTTTTGGTGAAGAATACTGAATATACCATGGACTGCCAGAAGAATGTACAAATCAATTTTACAAAAACTACAACCAGAATATTCCTTAGAAGCAAGAGTGGCAAGACTTGCAAGCACTAACTTTGCACATGTTATCAATAAAGACAAATCACTAGAAAATGACATCATGTTTGGTAAAATAGAGATTCAGAGAAAACAAGGGAAACCCTGAATGAGATTGGCACAATAGTCAGCATAATGAATTATCTCTTGAAGATGACACAGGATTAGCTAACAAAAGATAGGAGTTGGAGTCACCTAGACAGCATCACAAGTCCTGGGGTGGCTCTATAGGATAAGCACTGGACTGCTTCCACCAGGTTGGCAGTTCTAACTCACCAGTTGGAAGCCCTATGAGTTGGAACTGACCAACAATAACCAAACGCCGTTCTAAAAGAATTTTGTGTTCTTTGTTGTACACCATTTTAGCAACCTCAAAGGATTCAAATCATGCTCCCTTTCAATGCTCTTTGCAAAAAAAAAAGAAGTTTGAAGAGGCAAGATCAGGGATGGGGTACAGTTTCCCAATGAAATTCTCCTAGGAAAATCTTTCCATTCTTGAAGAATGAGCAGATGCATTGTAAAAGAAAAAAATCCTGGCCTTTTTTGCACTAACGCAGTTTTCCATTTTCTTAAAACTTCTTCATAATAGGTCCCTGTTATCATTCTATGTCCTCTGAGAAAATGTATTAAGATTATCTCTTTGGAGCCCCCCCAAAAATTTGCCATAACCTTCTGTACTGACCTCTGCCTTGAATTTAACTGGCCCAGTAGTTGATTCTTTGGAAGCCACTTTTTAAATTGCACCTTTTTAACAGGCACCCTAGTGAGAATAGGGAGTCCTGGTGTGGCACTGTGGGTTAATGTGCCAGACTGCAAAGCCATTTGAACTGCAAAGTCGACAGTTCAAGCTCACCAGCTACTCCTCAGAAACCCTACACAGGGTCACTATGGCCCAGATTCAACTCGACGGCACTTAACAAGAACAACAAGTGAGAATAAGGAGTACTGGTATGGTGCTGTAGGATAAGCACTCGACCACAACGTTGGTTTGAAATGCAAGGTCAGTGGTTCAGACCCACCAATCTCTCCTTGGACACCCTCTACAGAGTCAATACGAGTCAGAACCGAGTTGACAGCAATTAACAACAACAAATGAGAATACGACAAGTGTATTACTCAGTGAAACTGTCTGCAACCATCCACTTATAAATAAAGACATGTTTAAGCACATTCTGCTTGGAATAAAACCAAGGATGTATTCATTGGAACCCTAGTAACAATAATTTTAGCTTACCCTCAGGTGTGTGTATATGTATTGTGATCATGCCTGTATGTTCCAATGTGTGTGGCAGCATGCATATGAAGAGTAATCTTATTGAGTTTGCTTACTCATATAGACAACAGTATGCATATTTTCCAGTATATAAAATTTAAAATATTAATTTAGGAAACAGAAAGTGATATCATAGTAAAGTGTATGCTGATTAAGAATGAGACTGACTCATGAAAAGAAAATTAAAAATTCAAACCTAAAAAACACTACAAAAATCCAAGACCATACATAGGTTTCTAATGGAAAATACATTTGAAAAAAATTACAGATTGCCAGATTGGCAACAGATAAAATTTAATCATTAATCATGACATCACTTTGTCTTCTAAAATCTCTTCTATTTAAAACAAAAAAAAAAGTTATGCCATGTTACCAGGCCTCACAATGTGGATCACAATTTTTAGAAAGGGAGAAACTATGCTAGTATAAATCAGTTCTGAATTATAAATCCTTTGGAAATAATTACACCAATTATAAAGTTTTAAATTACACTCAGTACGGAAAACCAAATAAATACTCACAAAGAAGGATCTTGAACCAGATCTTTGAGATTTATCCCACTTCGATCTTCTGCAAGATTCCTAAAGCAACTATCACTCACTAAAACAGGAAAGGGAGAAAAAAAAAAAAAATTAATTAGTTTAAACAATATAATATGAGGGGTTTGGTATTGTGAATATGCATAGAAAGGAGAAGAATCTAAACCTTATTCAAGCTATTTTAAGTAATATAAAGTTTTAATTACTATTAGTTCAAGACTACTCATGATCTTTGAAAAGTCACAAAATCTCTCAAGGATTAATTTCCTTAAATATAAAACTATGAAATAAAATAAAATGATACACATAAACTAAATGGCTCAAAATGTTTCTTCAAGATTTAACATTTTGAAAACTGTAGTTAAGTGCTGTCAAGTCAGTTCAAACTCAGAACGACACTATTTTGGATTTTTGAGGTTGTAAATCTTTACAGGAGCAGAAAGCCTCATCTTTCTCCCAATGACAGGCTCCTGATCTTGTGGACTGAAAGATAAATGCTTATCTTTCACAGCCAGACATATACTTGCATACAGTAAATATACTGAAAAAACAATAGAAGAAAAAAAGATTTCTTATGTGAGCTGAGCCTGCTGATAGTTTTCCTTTCTGAGAGATTGCCACTTAGATTGTCTAAAACCATCAATTGTTGTTGTTGTTGTTAAGTGCCATGGCGTAGGTTCCGACTCATAGCGTCCCTGTACAGGGAGGGTTTCCGAGGTTGTAAATCTTTATGGGAGCAGAAAGCCTCATCTTTCTCCTGTGGAGCAGCTGGAGTTTTGAACTGTTGACTGTGAGATTAGCAGCCTGATTCGTAACCACTACGCTACCAGAGTTCATCATCAATTACTCATATGCAAATTCAAACTGAAGCTGAAGAAAATGAAAACAAGTCCACGAGAGCCAAAATATGGTCCTGAATATATCCCTGAATTTAGAGATCATCTGAAGAACAGACTTGATACATTAAACACTAAAGACCGAAGACCGGAAAAATTGTGGGATGACATCAAGAACATCATACAGGAAGAAAGCAAAAAGTCATTGTCTCTTGAGGAGACAAGAAGCAGAAAAAGTCAAAATGGATGTCAAAAGAGACACTGAAACTTGCTCTCCAGTGTAGAGATGCTAAAGCAAAAGGAAGAAATTAGGAGGTACAAGAGTGGAACAGAAAATTTCAAAGATCAGCTTGCGAAGATAAAGACAAATATTACAACAAAATGTACAAGATCTGGAATTAGAAAACCAAAAAGGAAGAACACACAGCATTTCTCAAGCTGGGGGAACTGATAAAAAAAATCAAGCCTCAACTTTCGTTATTGAAATATTCTCTAGGAAAATTACTGAATGATGCAGAAAGCATCAAGAGAAGATGGAAGGAATACACAGAGTCACTGTACCAAAAGGAAATGGTTAATGTTCAAATGTTTCAAGAGATAGCATATGATCAAGAGGCAATGATACTTGGCAAAGAACAAGGCACCAGGAATTGATGGAATAAAAACTGAAATCTTTCAAGAAAGTGAGGCAGCACAGCAGGCACTCACTCATCTCTGCCAAGAAATTTGGAAGACAAGTATCTGGCTGACTGATTGGAAGAGATCCATATTTGTGCCCTTCCAAAGGGAAGTGACCCAATGGAATGCAGAAATCATTGGACAATCTCTTTGATATCCTATGCGAGTAAAGTTTTGCTAAAGGTAATTAATACAGAAACAACTACAATCATATATTGAAAGAGAACTTCCAGAGATTCAAGCCGTATTCAGAAGAAGCCATGGAACGAGGGATATCATTGCTGATGTATGTGGATATTGGCTGAAAGCAGAGAATATGAGAAACATGTTTACCTGTGCTTTATCAACTAAGCAAAGGCTTTCGACTATGTGGATCATGACAAGCTATGAAAACATTGCTAAGTATGAGAAAGCAGTTGTTCGAACAGAACATGGGAACACTGAATGGTTTAAAATTAAAAAAGGTGTGTGACAAGGTTGTAGTCTTTCACCATACTTATTCAACCTGTATGCTGAGCACATAATCCGAGAAGCTGGGTTCTATGAGTTGTGGTGATGGAGGAGAATACTGAAGGTGCCATGGACTGCCAAAAGAACCAATAGATCTGTTTTGGAAGAAGTGCAGCCAGAGTGCTCCTTGGAGGCCAGGCTGGCTAAGCTTCGTCTCTCCTACTTTGGACATATTGTCTGGAGGAAACAATCCGTTGGAGAAGGATGTCATGCTGGGTAGGGTGGAGGGTCAGAGAAGAAGAAGAAGACCCCCAACGAGATGGATCAGCCAGGTGGCATCATTGATGGACTCGGGTGTGGCGGCGGTAGTGAGGTTGGCCCAGGATTGAACATTGTTTCGTTCTGCTGTGCATGGGGTCGCTATGAGTCGGTTCCGACTCGATGGCACCTGACATTCAACCTGTATGCTGAGCACATAATCCGAGAAGCTGGGTTCTATGAAGAAAAACATGGCATCAGGATTGGAGGAAGACTCCTCAACAACCTGCAATATGCAGATGATACACCCTTGCTTGCTGAAAGTGAAGAGGACTTAAAACATTTACTGATCAAGATCACAGAGCACAGCCTTCAGGATGTATTCCATCTCAATTTCAAGAAAACAAAAATCCTCACCACTGGACCAATAAACAACATTCTTATCAATGGAGAAAAGATTGAAGTTGTCAAGGACTTCATTCTTCTTGGATCAACTATCAACACATGGAAGCAGCAGTCAAGAAATCAAAGGACGTATTGCATTAGGCAAATCTGCTGTACAAGATCTTTTTAAAGTGTTGAAGAGCAAAGATGTAAGGTTGAGGACTACGGTGTGCCTGACCCAACCCATGGTATTTTTAATAACCTCATATGCATGTGAAAGCTGGACAGTGAATGACGAAGACCGTAGAAGAATTGATGCTTTTGAGTTATGGTGTTGGAGGAAAATATTGAAAGTGTCATGGGCTGCCAAAAGAACCAATAGATCTGTTTTGGAAGAAGTGCAGCCAGAGTGCTCCTTGGAGGCCAAGATGGCCAAACTCTGTCTCTTTGGACATATTGTCAGGAAGGACCAGTCACTGGAGAAGGATATCATGTTTGGTAGGGTAGAGGGTCAGAGAAAACGAGGAAGACCCCAACGAAATGGACTGGCCAAGTGGCAGCATCAATGGACTCAGCGTGGCAACAATAGTGAGGTTGGCCCAGGATCGGGCAGTGTTTCGTTCTGCTGTGCATAAGGTCGATATGGGTCGGTACCGACTCAATGGCAACCAACAACAACAAGGCTCGGAAAGAGGGGAGCTATAGGGGAAAAGAGAACCCAGCAGAACCCTTGATGGTTCATGGGCTGGCATGACAGACAGATTAGAATCTCAGGGAGTTATACACCATTTTCTTCCTGGGAAATTGGTTGAAGTGCTTGACTGCTAACTGAAAGGCCAATGATTTTAACCCACCAGTCGCTCTACAGGAGAAAAGACCTGGTAATTTACTCCCATAAAGATTTCGGCCTAGGAACCCCTATGGAGCAGTCTAATCTGTATTGTAGGATTGCTATGAATCAAAATTAACTCAGTGGTGTACAACAAAAAAGAATGGCACAGTGGACTGAATGGTTTTCTGTGTTAAAAGGCAGACAGTATTTTGTATAGCTGTGTGATGTTTAGGAGTCAAAGTCATGCTACAGCAGGTGTCACCTACAACATTCAGTGTAGTAATTCAACAGTTCTCTCCTCAGTATATATGGTCTTAACCAAAAAGACTCCTTTGGAGCCCAGAGGAAGCAAAAAAGGATAACAGGGCAAGAAAGGTACAGTAACACCTCACACAGTTTCATAACAAATATAAAGCCACCCTAGAAAGAAGAATCTTGTGCTTAAAAAATTTAAATGGGTAGACTATGTGTATCTACTGTAGTGTATCAACATTGGTGATTCCAACCCAACAGTCACTCCTGGAAAGCCCTATACAGGGTCCCTATGAGTTGGAACCAACTCAGTGGCACTAACAACAACAACAATAATAAAGTTGCCATCCACATACCACCTAGAGCAATTCTTGATTAAAATGAGATGACTTGTCCCTCATCATTTTCTTCTAATAGAGGACACTCAGGGAAAATAAATTTTACTTCAATATCTACTGTTCTATTGTAAATAATACTTAGCATACAGTAAAAATAAAAAATATGGAAAAGGGCAGGATATTCTAAGATAAAAAATAATAAACATGAGCTAGTCCAAAGATGAAACAACCTAAAAAACAAGGATTTTATAAAACCAATTTTTCCTTGGAAACCCTGTACAGGGTCGCTATAAGTTGGAACCAACTCAACAGCATTCAGTAACAACAACAAAGAGAAACAAAGAGAAAAAAATGTCACACTATATAAAAAGAAAATTTCAACAGGGAAGTAAAATATCTATAAAAAAATAATCAAATGATAATTTCAGAAATTTAAATTACTATATTTGAAATGGAATCCTGGTGTGTCACTGTGGATTAATGTGCTACATACACTGCAAAGTCAGTCTGAACTTCAAGGTTGGCAGTTCAAGTTCACCAGCCACTCCTCGAAAATCCTATACAGGGTCGCTATGGATTGGAATCGTCTCCATAGCACATGGCACTCAACAACAATATCTGAAATTAAGAATCCTGATGTGGTGCTGTGGGATAAAGCACTGGACTGCAAGGTCAGTTTGAACCACAAGGTTGATAGTTAAAACTTACCAGCCACTCCTTGGAAACCCTACACAGGGTTGCTATGCATGGGAACCGACTCAACTGCACTTAACAACAACAATATTTAAAATTAAGACTTCATTGGGTGAGTTTTACAGCAGATTTTAACACAATAGAAGACAGGTAAATAGACAAATAAAAATATGCACTCTGGCACAGACAGAAGAAAACAAAAAGAACAAAGCTTAGGAACCATTTGGGAACCAAGTAAGTTCAACATAATTGTAATTGCAATCCCAAAAGAATAGACAGTGAACAAGGGGGAAAGCAATCTTTTCAGAAAAAAAAGACTGGGAACATTC